GTGCTGGCACGTTTGAGCAATTGCGCGCGAAGGTAGCATTTGCGTTACCACTCACGTGCCAGAACGTGAGATTTGATGCAACTCTGCATCAAATAAATTTCGTCGCTCTAACTGTTTTTCTTGCGGAGTTGCATCAAAATTTATTTGTGCGTGCACGGGAAATACACAAGCGATGAAATGAGTGTGAAAGTCATTTTTACGCCCATCTTGTCAAACGACGCCGCCGGTTACACCCGAAAGTTCCAGTCCTGTAACTGCTTTTTTCCTGAACTTACGAAACTGCCTATGTAAAATTTTCACGTGTCCGTGCTTGAGATACAGAGGGACTGGAAAGCTCAATTTCCTTTCACGGGCACATCAGTGGGTGTCAAGCAACGCTGCAGAATTACAGATCTCTACAACTTCTTGGTTAATTTAAATCTGGAGTTGTCACGATGCCAATTCGAATCCTAACGTGTGCGTACGTGAGAACTAAAGCGCTTGAGGGCTGAATTTGAAGTCTTTTGATTAGACGTGGCCAAGGAATATCTTTGTAAAGTTATAGCTTTCCAGCTTGTGCCACTCTCGAAATCGCTTTTGCGCTAAAGAAATAGAATAGAAGGATTCACTTGAATGTTTGTGTATGAAGGCATTTTATGATGCAGTCTGTGTTTCATCCCTAGGCTGTATACACAGACCGAACTATGCATGCGGGTAGGAGCGTCAATCATCAGTGCAGCATCCTTCTTGCCGTGTTTTGAATAGCCATATAACTAATTTGCAAGACGGATAAGAAGAAAAAGGAGCAAATAAAAAGAAAGAGGAAGAAAAGAAGGAAAGTTAACACGTGACACGGACAATCATTATATGTAATTATTAGGAAAAGTTTTTTATGAGAATAAACTGCTGACTACGCGTTTAATTTCTGTATCATCAGGGAAGATGAATTTGCTCAGTACTGATCGGTTCCTGAAGCAGAATCTGAGAACGGAGCGATCTAGTTTGATAATATCAAACTTTTTGTGTCCACAGATAGTTATAAGCTGTCTAGCCCAGTCATGAAATCCCTCTGGAAGAGTGCGTACACATGCATAACGAAGACGTTGCGATATAATGACACCTTTTTATACCGTCTGATCCATACCGCTATCTGGACATGCTCCGCGATTTACGGTGAATGGGTAGTCTAAGGTCTTATTGTATACGTTGAAAATGCATCTGCCCTCTTGGAATGAAATTTCGAGGTCTAAAAAGCATGCCCTCTGTCGGAGTAAGTGGTGTTGAGTTGCAAGCTGGGCCTACAGATATTACTGGCGATTTCAGCAAAGTTACCGCAGTTAACAGTTAGGATACCATCGACATATCGAAAGAGGTGAAGATGAATATCGGGACCCACAGAAAGTTTCACGTGCCCGCACGTAGGAATCACGGGGACTGGGCGTTCATTTTAAGGTACGAGCCCATACATATGTTTAGATTGAGTTCCCATAGTTTTAGCCTTGTAGTTTTTGTAAATCTCGAGATGAAAACTCGATACAAACGCGCACACAGACACACACGCACAGACAACCGATCGACAATATACATTTTTGCATTGCAGAGACGCAAAAAAACGCATAAAAATAGACTGTTAAAATCTAATAGAACAGCAACACTCGAAACCTGATATGGCCAATAGTGAGCACGCCAAAGAAAGCCGACAGAACAGGAAAACTTACCATTTCTCCGAAAGGACATGAGCACAACGGCCCATCAGGACTCATATGGCATTTAAATGAACAACCCGCACGATCGGCAGCGCATAAATCTCGCGCACATCGGCCTCCTTCATCAGTACCACCCGGACAGTGATCTTTGCCATCACATAAATTATGAAGTGGTATACAGACATCCGGAGTTCCAGGACACGGCGTCTGGAAATGGTAATGGATATATGAAAAAAGACAGCGAATTGCAATAACCTCAAGGAAAAGTATAAAAGGATCGGGTTATCGTAAGCTAAAAAAAGCTAGGCTATCTGTTCGCAAGAATGAAGTAAGTGCAATGAAGAATTCAGAAACAGTGAACACAACTCCCTCAATTTTTCATTGTTTTATGGATTTATCGTCCAACTAGCAGTGCTTATCCTCATATTCTTTTTCATTATATATGTTGTTTTCAAGTTCTTTTAGCGCCTTATGCTGCCAACTGCTCTGTCTTTAGCTAAGTTTCGTGTCTTTGAAATTTTCGCTTCAGCTGAATTTCGAGTCCTCAGTGATTTCGAGTCTTTGAAATTTTTGTTTCAGCTGCAACATATTCAGACGGAATTGCGCACAGTTTCACTGTTATCCATCAACCCTTCCGTGTTCGCCACTAGTGTAAGAATAATAACTACAAACATGTGAACTACACAACAATACCATCGAATTCACGTGAACCGGCTGTGTAAATATTGCTAGTTGTGGTTCATCTATGCTAGGCCAGTTACTGCAGCTCTCTAGCTTCTTATTCCTGATTAAAAATTCGTTTTCAAATTAGTTTATACGACGAGTCACAGCCATTCAAAAAGTGCGCTGGTATTTAGCAATCGCCAGGAAGCACCAAATTGTAAGTTTCATCAAGCCTCGCCAATGCAAGGTTTTTGTAGGCATTCTCATCAATGCAGATCTCAATCACATAACATGCTTATCCTAAGATCAAAATACATGCTAAGCAGCAAATGATTACATGCTCGAACGGGCAGCGAACGGCTAACTGTCGATGGCGCTGGCATCCATGTTCTGGACTCTCATCACTGTTATCACCGCAGTCATTTTCCCCATCGCAAAACCATGTCTGCAACAATTTATTCACTCAAACGTGCTCTTTTCATGGCACAGCAAACAAAGCCAATGACGAATTTGTTTTAGAGAATGGAGATGCGCT